AAGAAAAAAAAGGCTTGACTGAAAAATGGAAATTCTCACAGGACTTTGTTCATATGTTTGAACCTCTTGTTTTCACTCACTTTTTAGTCATAAAAGGACATCAGTCTGCTGAGTTTATATACAGTAGATAGAGTTTAATAGCTTGGTGATTTGCATAATGTTCAGCCAAATTAAATTTCTAAAGAAACTTTGACGTCTCATTTAAGGCTGTTATGGATGGATGTCGTATTTTCATGACAATGAAAAAAACCCTGGTTGCAATTAATTGCTATTAAAATGCCAGATCCTCAATTATTAAATCGAAGACTGAATCCTGTCTGATGTACTGCAGTAATTTTGGCCAACAGAGAGCACTGTTTCACAACTGTTCCTTCACAGCAAAGTGAGACGTCAATGAGGTGAAATTCACTCTTAAAGGGTTTGTTCACCCAAAAATGAAAAGTAGCCTGTGTTTTACTCACCCTCAAAGCATCCTAGGTGTATGTGACTTTCTTCTTTCAGATGAATCCAATCGGAGTTATATTAAAAATTGTCCTGGCCCCTCCAAGCCTTTCAATGGGGGTAAGCGGGTGTTGGTTGTCAACAGTTCAGAATGAATGCTTTGAGGGTGAGTAAAACAGGCTAATTTTCATTTTTGGGTGAACTAACCCTTTAACCCCCCTGTTATGTGCAAATTTCATGCATTTTTAAAAATATGTCATAACTCAAATATACAATATAATTTGTTTTATTTACTTACACTCTACCTACCCGATATTTTAAATACATTTTTAGAACAAAACATAACTTTTAGATTTTTATATATTTTATTTAATTGCTTCATTTACATAAAAAACATTGTCCTCAGTTTCTGAGATTTGTTCCTCTAAATCACTCACATCATCCAAATATTGCCCTAACACCTCACTCACAGTGGATCTTATGGTCATTTTTCTGTAGATGGAAAATGACAGTCAAATGTCCCCACAAGGACAGTAAAGCCTGAATTGTTTGACATTGTGGGGACATTTAGATAGTCCTCATTAGGAAAACCTTCTTTTTTTTTGGAAATGAAAAAACAGAAAGTTTTGTGTGATTGGTAAGGTTAGGGGAATGAAAATACTGTTAATACAGTATTATGTCTATGGAAAGTCGCCAAATAATATAGAAACCAAGCAAGATGCTTGTAAAAATGTGTGTACAGTGTTTGTAAACACATTATTGTATGAAATAGTAGATAAAGGTATATGGAACTTTGAAAATTACAAAAACTGGCCTTCATAGTACAGTAATTGTAAAATGTAAAATAATGCCAGACATCAGGGGCCTCATTTATAAAATGTTGCGTAAAAACCATCCTAAATTTGTTCTAAGATAATTTCTCAAAAGTGCGTAAGTGCGATTCAGAGAAAACGAACGTGCGCACAAAAACACGTGCGTACGCCTCTACCAGCTTAAACCAGCATCCCAGCTTCAAAACATACCTAACCAGCATATGCTGGTTAGGTATATTTTGAAGCTGGGATGCTGGTTTAAGCTGGTCCTTTGCTGGTTTATGCTGGTCATGTGCTGGTCGGACCAGTTTAGGACCAGCACATGACCAGCTAAGGACCAGCATAAACCAGCTAAGGACCAGCTTAAACCAGCTCAAACCAGCATCCCAGCTTCGACACATACCTAACCAGCATATGCTGTTTTTTTCAACAGGGTGTTCAGACCCTGACGTGACGGTAAGTACTTTACGTCAAAGAGCGTTTTTATAAATATGAACGTTGCCGTGGATTTTAGCGTACGCACACTCTAAGATCAAATCTGTGCTTAAAGCACATTTTATAAACGAGGCCCCAGACCTCAGACATCACAGGAGGGTTAAAGGGTTAGTTCACCCAAAAATGAAAATTAGCCCATAAATTACTCACCCTCAAGTCATCCTAGGTGTATATGACTTTCTTCTTTCAGACGAAGAAAATTCTTTCAGAGTTATATTAAAAATTGTCTTTGATCTTTCAAGCTGTTTAATGCCACTCGGCGGGTGTTGCAGTGCATCAGTCCAAAAGAAGTTAAATAAAAAGCGCCCATCCATAATAAAAAGTGTCTCACACGGCACACGGCTGTAGCGAATCGATGCATTTTTGTAAGAAAAATAACAATATTTAAAACGTAATAATCAATTTAATCTAGCTTGAGCTCACTGTTGTAAACGGAAGCAGCTCGGGGCGGATGACGTATGAGGTCGGCTTTGCGCATGCACTGCTCAGAAGTGACGAACACGGAAGTGCAGGGGAGAGATCATATCAAAACAACGGTCACTAATTAGAAGTACAAAACGAAGATTTGTAAAGAAGAATGTCGCAGGATTTCGATATAAGCCAAGAGGAGACTGGTTTTCCTTTGCTATTGTTAACAAACGTTGGTTTTCACAAGACTCACCAGCGCATGCACAACGCTGAACTCATACGTCATCAGCCCGGAGCTGCTTCCGTGTATAACTGTTGGCGCAAGCTAGATTAAAGTGATTATTATGTTTTGAATATGGATATTTTTCTTACAAAAACACATCGATTCGCTACAGGAGGCCTTTGTTCATCCCCTGGAGCCGTGTGAGCCACTTTTTTTTATGGATGGGCACTTTTTATTTAACTTCTTTTGGACTGAAGCACTGCAACTCCTGCTGACTGCAGTGATAGAGCTTGAAAGATCAAAGACAATTTTTAATATAACTCTGACTGGATTCGTCTGAAAGAAGAAAGTCATGTACACCTAGGATGCCTTGAGGGTGAGTAATTTATGGGCTAATTTTCATTTTTGGGTGAACTAACCCTTTAAGAGCGTTGCAACTGCATTCAGATACATACTAAAATCTTAAGTTTGAATCTGATATCGGAAATATTGACTCTATTTAACACATGCAGGTATAAGTGTGGTCACTGAATGACTCTCCTTTGGTACAAAAGCAATCAAGCTGTCGCAGCACAGCAGGCAGAGGGATATTAGTTATAATGTGTGGCTGTCAGAGCCTGTAATGGGAACATCCCCAGTGCTGCCACAGGGCTCCAGGTTTTGTAGCCAGTAAACACACTGATGTTTCTCATGAGTGTTCAGTGCACCCAGCCAAAGGAGCTGCAGTCATCAGACCATATGAATCATGTCACGTTACATGATGTGAATCAAGCTCCTGCTGAGTTTTAAATCCTTATACAGAGCGGAATGAGGTTAACTGTGAGGCATGAGTGGAGATAAAGGGAGGCAGGAAATAGAGCTTAAACACGCAGCTCCTAGATTACAAGTATTATCTCAATGGAATTTGGCTAAGCATTAGTATGGATGTTGTTTTTCATGTAGATTCATATCATATGTTACTTTCACACTAGGGCACTACAATGTGTCTGATAGAAAAACTGAGCAATGGTACACAACAAAGTCAGCAATCATGCAGATTGTCCAAAGGAAAAAGATGATGCAGTCTTAAGAAAATAGACCCATTCTTTGAGGATGGCTTTGTCAAAGAAAAATATTATTTTTGTGTTTAGGCTAGAGCATCCATGTTGCTTTCTCAGCTGCATCCATAAGATTCGCAAAAGTTGTAAGATTTGCAAAAAAAAAAAAAAAAAACCCCTGAGCTTGTGCATATTTTACTGTCAGTGAATGACTTTGTTATAAAGCTTCTGCGTTCAACTCGTTCAAACAGTTTTAGAACTGAATACTTTATTATTATTCCTTGCTTTTCTACATTTACATAAAATGTGGATAATATTGTACTTATTCTTATACCAACAGAGAGAGAGAGAGAGAGAAAACTAATTTATATTTAAAAAAATGACAATGGATTTTTATACAATTTTTCATGAAGGCATAGGAACACCTAGAGTCCAACCCATGAACATAATATTTATAACATTAATGTTTTCTTGCTGTGTAGGACTACTATTAATTACCATGATCCATAAAGAAAAACACATAATATATTACATAAAATATCATGCTGAGTGTCCTGTACCAGTGATGGACACCCTGTCATTTTATATTCAAGTGTCTACCAGGAACCCAAGGCTTAATAAATTAGTGGTTTGTACTGCCCTGCAGTCACAGCATATCTGATTTTCCTTTTAAAGATGTGACCAATTAATATTATGATACAAATTAAAACAGGGCATAATGTATACCATACATACTGTAGCTCTAACCAACGGAAACATTAATATCATTCAAAATCTGATATACAAATACCCAGAGTCAACATTCAAAGCTCTTAAAAGGTTAGTTCACCCAAAAATGAAAATTAGGCTGCGTTTTACTCACCCCCGAGGCATCCTAGGTGTATATGACTTTCTTCTTTCAGACGAATCCAGTCAGAGTTATATTAAAAATAGTCTTTGACCTTTCAAGCTGTTTAATGCCACTCAGCGGGTGTTGCATGCATCAGTCCAAAAGAACTTAAATAAAAATCGCCCATCCATAAAAAAAAGTGTCTCACACGGCTCCGGGGGGTGAACAAAGGCCTTCTATAGCGAATCGATGCGTTTTTGTAAGAAAAATATCCATATTCAAAACGTAATAATCACTTTAATGTAGCTTGTGCCAACAGTTGTACACAGAAGCAGTCCCGGGAGCATGAGGTATGAGGTCAGCGTTGCGCATGCGCTGATGAGTCTCGTGAAAACCAATGTTTGTTAACAGGAGCAAAGGAAGCAAAGTTTCCTTACTTTAGCAAAGGAAAACCAGTCTCCTCTTGGCTTATATCGAAATCCTCAGACATTCTTCTTTACAAATCCTCGTTTTGTACTTCTAATTAGTGACCGTTATTTTGTTTTGATCTCTCCCCTGCGCTTCTGCGTGCGTCACTTCTGATCAGCGCATGCGCAAAGCCGATTTTTATTTAAGTTCTTTTGGACTGAAGCAATGCAACACCCGCTGAGTGGCATTAAACAGCTTGAAAGATCAAAGACCATTTTTAATATAACTCCGACTGGATTCGTCTGAAAGAAGAAAGTCATATACACCTAGGATGCATCGGGGGTGAGTAAAACGCAGCCTAATTTTCATTTTTGGGTGAACTAACCCTTTAAGTGCCTTAAAAATCATTAATTTGCACGTGTAATAATTTCATGCATTACTGCAGTCCCTCTTTCGGTGCCTCTATTTATAATAAGAACAAATCACTCATTTCATTCACTCCAAATAAACAAACTCATCAATCTGAAACTGTGGGAAACCAGTGGCTTTGGCAAATATCACTAATTTGAATTAAGACTGAGATTTTAGGGTAGCTGTGAAGGCCCTCCATTGTTCTCAATGCCTATTCCCAGGGCAGGGTGGGGGTCGCGAAGGAGGGGGTCCGCGGGGACCTGGGGGTGCCCGGGCTGTTGAAGGTCCTGGGGGTGAGCGGTTGATGGAGGGTCCCCGGGATGGTGGTCTTTTGGGCGGAGGTCGCATGAGTGGCTGATGGTCTGGAGGGGGCGGTAGAGGTGGAAGTGGACAGTTGCTGCGTGGCGGTGACCTTGGCTCCTCTGCTTTCACCCGGGTAAAATTGATGCATCGCCCCTGTGGAAACACGACAGATGGTGGGATCACTGTCAGTTCAAAGCTGAAACTACATTGCTAGCAGTAGCTATAACTTCTGGGGATAAAACATAAATCATGCTCTTTACATATTTTGTATGGATAAGTTGTATTTTCAACCCCAGAGGTGACAAGTTCACTGTGAAATGCGTGGGATTCAAAAACAAAAGCTCGGTACAGCTGATCCTAGGCTGCATTCTCTTGCTAGCTTTCGCTCGAAATGCCCAGGAGATGAACCCACAGCACTTCAGACATTCAGAAACTCAGCTGTCAACTGCAATTCTGTCCCTAAAATCATGGGGGTGGGGTTGAGGAGTTGCAGCACTGCGCTCAAGGAAGAATAGCTATTTGTGAAAACGGTGATGGAACAAGGGGCTGGTCTCTGAGAAAATGTACATTCTTCAAGATGAAGTGATTCATTGTTGTCAGCAAGGCTGATCGTTCAGGAGGAATCGTCAGAGAGGGTTCAAACTCAAGGACGGACTGACCAAAGCCATTCAAAACTCACTTTATGCTTCATTAGGTGCAAAAAATGAAACTTTGGATGACTCAGGAATCCACTACAACACCCACATTTGTCAGGGCTTAAAAAAAGTAACTAAAGATATTTACTTTAGTATACTTGGCTACAAAAATAAATAAATAAACATTTAGAAATTGAAGTGATAAACAAAACTGCTTGAACTTTTAAAAAGCACTTCATTGCATCATTTCATAAAACAAACGTTCAGGTTCAAAATAAGTTTTTAACATATATATATATATTAATATTGCTCTTGGTTATTTTCTATTAATGTAAGTAAATAGATATATATATATATATTTTAGAATTCTCCTGCTCACCAAGGCTGTATTTATTTGATAAAAAAATACAGTAAAACATCAATATTGTGAAATATTATTACAATTTAAAATGACTGATTTCTATTTTAATATATTTTTTAAAGTATTTTATTCCTATGATGACAAAGTTGTATTTTCAGCAGCCATTACTCCAGTCTTCAGTGTCACATGATCCTTCAGAAATCATTCTAATATGTTGATTTTGTGCTCAAGAGATTTCATATCAAAGTTGAAAATAGTTGCGTTGCTTAATATTTTTGTGGAAACCATGGTTTCTTTGATAAATAGAAAGTTCAATAGAACATAATTTATCTTAAATCTTTTGTAATATTTTAAATGTCTTTACTGTCACTTTTGATCAATTTAATGCATTCTTGCTGAGCAAGAGTATTCATTTCTTAAAAATAAAATAAAATAAAATAAAATAAAAATACCAACCCTAAACTTTTGAATGGTAGTGTAAATAATTTTAATACCGAGTATGATACTTTATTTTATTTAAAAAACTCAATCTCTACCATGCTGTTTGAGCATTTATCAGACAAACAGATGGACAGTTTAAAGGCCACTAGCTAAATTGTCACAGGAGAGATTCCCTCCCTTTTGTTCAAGGGTCTGAGAGGACTGAGGGTAGGAACAGATATGGCTTTTATGTGTTATATAGTAATAAGGGTGGTGCTAGTTCACTGATTATGCAGGAGTGATCTGCATAAATATGAAACAGACATACAGAGAGCCCTACATGTAACATGCTTCTGTTTTCTATATAGTGTGTTGGGATGGTTTATGTAAAATTGGCAGGCAAAGCTGTCAAGTCATGTATCTTTCTGTTCAGATGTTCAATCATCACATAACACTAAACTGAGGCTGAAAACTGGGATATGTGTCATGGGTTTTAAAGGTCCCATGGCATGAAAATTTCACTTTATGAGGTTTTTTAACATTAATATGAGTTCCCCTAGCCTGCCTATGGTCCCCCAGTGGCTAGAAATGGCGATAGGTGTAAACCGAGCCCTGGGTATCCTGCTTTGCCTTTGAGAAAATGAAAGCTCAGATGGCCCAATCTGGAATCTTCCCTTTATGTCGTCATACGGGGAAAGGTTACCTCCCCTTTCTCTGCTTTGCCCGCCCAGAGAATTTGGCCCGCCCATGAGAAAATGAGCTACTACCGTAAGAGGCGAGCGCAATATTTTTTTTTCCTCGAGAGACATCATGGCTTGCAAACGAGCGAAGCATGGCAGTTGCCCCGCCTCTCTCCTCCTCATTAGCATTTAAAGCTACAGACACAGAAATGGCACGTCCTAAGGAAAGCTCATTGTGGGACTGGCTCGTAGTGGCTGAAATTCTGCACCAAGGCTGAATTTCGGGAAAGAGACTTCAGATACAGTACTAGGGACCACTTAGGCCTATATAAAAGCATCCAAAAAGCAGCATGTCATGGGACCTTTAAGAAATCTCAACACGAGTCAACATATAGCTTGCAAATATAAAATACTCCATTTACATTATAAATACACCTTGCTGGCTATAGCCTATTTTAAATTTTTTTTTCAAAGAAAACTTGTTCTGCCTCTTTAACAACTTTCCTTTTTGGTTGACCTCACCAAGCCTTCTAATTTTTAAGCCCCTCCCCTCCAACCACCTGTCATATAGAGAGCACTTGTCATAAATTATCACCTTCTGCAATGGTCGTTTTAGGTTTGTTTCTGTTAAGGATTGTTAAACAATAGCATAATATAAATACAAAAGAAATAGCTAGTATAAATATAAATATTCTCATACACATACATATATTAAATTTAAACAATTATATAAATATTAAATTATTTATTAAAATAATAATAAATACCATTTATACATATGCATTTGTCATATGTGTGTGTGTGTCAGAGAGAGAGTACAGAAATTGTATTTATTATTAATAAAAAATAAAATAACACACACACACATATATATATATATACATATATTACATAAAACATTTAACAATAATAAATAAATAATGATAAATGAATGCATACTAAAAAAAAGGTATTTATTATTATTTTTAATAGATATGTTTTAAACGGTTTTTGTAAAATATTTGATATGTAATAAACATTAAAATAATATATTTATTATTATTATTATTAATTTATAAGCCAGCATGCATCAAAAAAATCACCTGTTACAAAATAATTTTGTAAACAGTTTTAATGGTTGTTCAAACACCTGTATTTGTTGCAATGTTCAATGGGACCCTGGTAGATAGCACCACCTTGCCAGTGGCCCCCAGGTAATTTGAGTTTGAGACCCCTGATGTAAAGCCTGTAGAATCTTGTAGCCTGCTGGGGGCCATCCACAGTAGTTAAAACACCATATGGACAGATTTCTCTTCCCCACTCCCTCCACCCACATCTGCACAGTATTCGTGAGTCTCCATTCTCATTCGGCCCATATGTTCACCCTTGTGCAGGCCTGTTGCTGTGCTGCTCGCCAAATTGTCCTTTTCGCCGCTCACGACTGGCAAAATGATGGCTTTGCCCTACAGCCAGACAGACGTGAATCAATCACCCCCCTACCCCCAATCTGACAATAGGCCATCACAATAAAACTCAGCTCCCCCTTTGCCGAATGGGCCCCATGTCACGTTATGGGGCTCTTTGTTTAAGCTGTTAAATCAGACCACCAAGCATGGATCTAACGCAGACCCACATGAGAGTGGAATCCCTGAGAACAATCAGAGGAGCATGTCATTTACCTAAACTCGTAAATTATGTTAAAAAGCGACTTCCTTCTGTTAACCAGAGCCTTTCTAGTCACAACTTTAACATCTCTGTGGGTCATTAGGAAAAGCAAAACAAAAACACTCTCTGTTCCACAGAGTTTCTTTGTGTGAAATGTAGATGGCACTCAGACGTGAAGGGGAAGATACTGAGCATTTGAGGTGAAGCTTGTAAACTGGCCAGACAAAGACTTTCAACAACAACAGCTTCTTTCTTTACACAACTACTATAAGTGAGCAATAAAACAAGGCTGCCACCTCTGCATCACAATGTGTGCACTGAGGCCTATGGGTAAAAAGTTTGACCCGGATTCATCCATATGACACATTGGCTCAGGTTATACATGTTAATGTTTAACATTCATTCAAAATACAAGATTGTCAATGTGACTTCTATGACTTAAACAACACTGTTCAATTTATTTCAATTACTTGCATTTATAATGTAACAACAATATTTCTGAACTAACAAAATGTCAGCAGAGACAGAGACTGCTGAAGCCAATAGAAAAATGCCAGAAATAATAACAAGATTTGCACTTCCTGGAGAAAAATAGTGTTTAGTAGACAACAAAAGATTACTGTTGGTGTTTTATGTAAATATAGGTTTCAGGGTTTAGTTGCACACAAGTTAAATGATATATCTGAGTCGCTTTACTGCTGATATTGCCCTTACAAAATGTTACCATGCAGTTTCTTCCAGAATTCTTTAGTTTTTTACAGTTGCTACAGCAGTGGTGTTCTGAAATGGGGAGGCAAAGTCCCTTTTTTCTCAAATTTTCAAACCAAGTAAAATTGTCTTGGTTAAATAAACATAACTTACACTATCAGAAAAAAGAGAAAGAAAAAAACCCCCAATTTTATTGTATTTCATATTTTTACATTAACAATATAATTAATATTCTATTTATTAAAGCCAGTATGAATCTCATCAAGCATTTTACATTTATTCCAAAATATTAACTCAAGGCAATAACAATTTAAACTATATATTTTATTTGATAACTTCAGTTAAGTTCAGAAACGTTCAGTTATTTTTTAAATGCTTTTAAATATTTTTGAATTTTTCGGATCATCAGTCATCAAAGCTCTGTAAATATTGGTCACAGACACAGAGATTTACCTTACATTTCACCAAGCTGATTACTCAATAAAAACTTTTTAATGTCATACTTTGTAGCATTTGCTGTCACGAATTCGGTCCATGGACTTCCGTTTATTCACCACCAGAGGTCACCCTTTCCATTACATTGACTCTCGCACTACACAAACTGTTGCATAGCACCCCGGACTACATATCCCATCATTCTTTGCACGATTTGCACACTGCACTGATTGCACTCATTGCACACAGCTGTTTCTAATCACCTCACTCACTATATAACACCCACTCCTACCACCTTTCTCTGCTGAGTATTGTTTAGCCCGTACCCCATTCCGAGTCTCTGTGTTTTCCTTGTTTTGCCTTGCCTTGCCTGTTTTCGCGGTTTCTGATCTTTGCCTGTTTTCCTGGATTTTTCCCTCTCGTCTCGCCCCTGTGATTCTGTCTGCCGATCGGTGACCTACGCTAGCCCTGGTACTATTCTTGTTTTTTGCCCGCCATATACCTGTTTGCCATTGTTTGACCCTGCCTGTTTACCACGTCTCTTTAATAAAGCCTGCAGATGGATCCACACGTCTCACGTCTCGTCAGCCCCGTTACATTTGCATTGTTTTATTTTTGTACTACAAATTTTTTTCTTATCCAATTTTTAAGGAGGCACTGCCTCTCTTACCTCCTCAGAGGAAACACCCCTGTGCTACAGTGTAATCACAATGAACTAATATTAATATGTGACCTCCTCCAAACACTGTAATACATTTTCACAATCTATCATCTTTATTTTTTTATGTATGTGTATTTATGTATATATTTATTTGTTTGTAGCTATACATAAGTAGCTAATTCCAAATTACCACTGTTTAACTGTAACTATGATTAACTTTTTTACAGTTTTTTTACAAGACCAATCAAGAAAAGAACAATTCAGCATGCAAAAAGATGTAATAAAGACAAACAATTACAATCCAGAATGCAAATAATGTGATGACATCCTGTTGGTTGCAAAATGAATGCAGACATCTGAATGCAGAACATCCTATTATTGTAAATCAAATGAATTTTTGAAATGTTATACAATTTAAATTAAAGTTTCTTTAAAAATATAAAGAGTAACAAAAATGCAAATGTACAGGCTAAAATCCTCAAACCAAACGTTCAAAATAGCATGCAGAAGTTCAATACTTATGCTTGGGGTTTAGAACAAATTACATCTTGAAATATGTATTGTAAAGGGAGAAGGATGTGAGCTAGTTCATAACAACCACTTAACCAATGTGTCTGACAAATATCAATACAGTGCTGCTTGGCAAGAAATATGATAGTCTGTTTAGTTGCAGTCCATCTTTGAACTCTTCAAGACCTCAACAATATACATAAGAGGCCCTTTGGTAGGAATAGAAACAGAGGAAAAGACAAAGAGGATACAGAGATGGAAGAGACAGTGAATCAGTCACAGCTAGGAAATGCAAAGAAAGATGGGCTATAAAGAGAAAGATGTGGACTAATATAGAGATTAGGCCATCTATAGCTGAGCAGAGGTCTTGTTTGGGCACAGCGAGTTGTTTGTGTCTGCTGTCTAGGCATTGTGCTGCAGGTGGGCATGAAACACACAACTACACCCCAAATCTCCCTGAATAGCACAGCTGTTTCCACCCAAACCCTGTCCTTTACAGAGTCTGCTGACTTTACCAGAACCTTCTAAAGCTCATGCAAAATACATTGAGCAGCTGGACACTGGCAGTCCCTCAGACAAGCAGCCTATTATGGAGCCATGAAGAATTAAACCAAAGTAAATCAGATCGGTCCATCTACAGTGGGAACGGAGCTATAGCCCGCCCGTGTCAATGGGATCATACTGTACAGTCTGCGACACTGCAGCCCACATGAAAGATGCCTTTCATAGACACACAGATGTGTTGCTATGACACAGCTTGTGCTGATGGAATAATGCAGGGTGCAGAGAGCAGGGCTCAGACACTGAGGGACGTCTTTTACAAAAGGCACAAGAGAATGAGAGACTGTGCTCGGCCACACCGTTGCTCCATGTGAGGAGGAATTAAAAGCAGCGCAATTAGACTGCTATTTCCTGTCCCGGCTACTGAGCATGCTTAGAAAGGATGGGAATGTCAAAACAGCTGTACTTAAAAAACAAAGGGAGCTGCCTCGCCTCCTTCTATGGCAGCACCCAGTAAGCACAGATTTATACAGAACCCACAAACTTTGGATCAAATATTCATATTTACTTACAATTGAATCATATTTAATCAGAAATGAGTCTCTTATGCTCACCATTGCTGTATGTATTTGATTAAAAATACAGCGAACACTGTAATATTCTAAAATATTATTACAATTTTCAAATATCTTTTGTATTTTAAAATATTTTATAACGTAATTTATTTCTGTGATGGCAAATCTGAATTTTCAGCAGCCATTACTCCAGTGTCACATGATCCTTTGGAAATTAATATGATGTTTTGGTGCACAAGAAACATTTCTTATGCTTATTTTTTTGTGGAAACCGTAAGCAATCTATTAGGATTATTTAATGGATACAAAGTTCAAAAGATCAGATTTATCTGAAATAGACATTTTTTGTAACACTGTAAATGTCTTAACTGATACTTTTGATTATTTTAATATCTTAATAAAAGTACTTTGATACAACAATATATTAAGGCACTTTATATTAGACATAAACACTATTACAGAATAACAAACTGGAGCTGGATTCCGTCATTCAAAAGAGCAGCTTATTCAAAGAATCAATAAGATAAACAAAGGCACTATGAAAAATGGAAATGTTATCCATAATATTCAAGCACAATTATGTATCAGGTCTCTATTCTGTGGAGTATTATTTGTCTGTATTGGAATATCAGTAACTTGAATGGTCATTGTACCTGATCTCCGGGCTGAGGTCTCATGAGTGACACCTGGTCATATCCTCGACGGAAAAGGGCCCACAAAGCATCCAGTTTCCCCTAAGACACAGAACTGTTCTATTAAAACATTTTGGACTTTAAAATCTTAAAGTCTAAAATATTGGACTATTATAATGTTTCTTTCTACTGATATTCCAGGGCTAATTTAGTGATAATTTCATATTCAATTCTATGGAAAAAAACTCATATACCTGAATAGGACTGTACCACTTTCTATGATGGGCAGGTCTGCGCCCATACAAATTTCTGAGTTTAGGTTCATAAGGCTCATATTCATCTTCAGGCATTTTCACTACAGCATTCTTTGGCTTCTCCAGTTTAGCTCCTTCCTCCGTGGAGCCCTTGTCCCCCCAACGCACCTAAAGACAGGAAAACAGTCCACTTATAACCAACACAGACTATGGAAAAATGGTTGTTTCACCATGAAAATATTATTAAGGAGCTGTGTTAGTGTGGCTATACATATATAGAGCTTTTCCTTGGGGCAGTGGAAAGGCTTGCATGTTTCAATGATCCTGAGACCAACAGAGCAAAAGACACTTCACGCAAGCTTGCATTAACACTAATGTCTTTAAGTAGTGCACTTAACAAGTAATAGGCACTGGAACTGTGAAAAAGGTGTGTGCATTTTTCAAAGAACAATAATGCACATGTCCAATATTGCTACCGTTGCAAATTACAGGAGTAAATCTACAGGCGTCAGCATGTCTTATGATGTCACATGATCTAGTTTTGGCACCAGGCAGACAGGTACCATTTAAGGTCACAGTGATGTGCTCTAGTGCCTTGAGGGTTTATAACATCACTCGTCATGTGTGGTCTTCATCCCCCTGTAGCCCATGTTAACCTATGATCAAGACACCCTATATAAAGCCGAAACACACACACTGTGTACAATAACATGCATCACCTCCATTCTTTTGATTCCACCGACTCCTCTTCCTCCATAGTAGGATGCATCTACTGTAGGCCATTTCTTTTTGGGCATGCCATCTTCATCATCGGGTTCCTGTTGAGCGCACAAAACTTACATAAACCTAATATCACACTAGTAATAATTAGCAAAGAATGACCATACTTTAAAGTCATGTTGAAAACAACACTCTTTTTCTGTTATTTTGTATAAATTCACTGTTAGCATATTCAACCCATTAGTTTACACAGATAGAATAAACACAAAGACACAGTCAAATAATGTTAGCTGCGAAAGTAGCAACCACATTGTGTCTCCAAATCAAAGAGAAGCTTTAGAGACAGAGCGCCTTGTTTGCGCTCTCAGTGTTAAGAAGCACAGATGCACACTCAAAAGCCATTTCCACAAAGCTCTTTTATTTCCCATCAGCCTCAGTGACTGCTTGCCTTTGACCTCTGGGAACAAAGCAAACACAAGAGGATCATTATGAGTCCTTTTTCCAGAATTTTGCTATTCAGTCATCCTACAGTTGAGCCTGTGGTCCCCGCTGTGTCCACTTTCACTGCTCACTTGTCTTTATTTACACGGCCGTGGCATAGAAAATGCCCTTAAATGGTGATGGACAATTTTGCAAAGCAGTTGCACTCCTAACTAACAGCTGATATTGGCAGCATTAGGGAATGCGGTTTACAAGGAATGATGCCATTTCTGGGACACGCTGGATTCAGCTTATGAGAGTTATTAGTTTTATCATGTGCAAACTGTTTTCTTAGTGCCCTGATTCATATCGGCTCTAAATTTCCATGGTTCATTTGGGTGTATGGTTGTGCCTAAACACACACATACACAAACATAGGCACAAAATGAGGTTAGAGGGAGTTCGACTCACAGGCTCAGGGGGAGGGGGTGGAGGCACTTCCTTGATGACCTGAAAGAAACATAATTCCCAGTGAAAGAATATTATCTAAACTAAGAGCAGTACAGTATAACTAGTAGAGCTATAAACAGTACAGTAAGCATTATATTGCATATAGCACTGGGGGGAGGTACAAACATTATTAAATCATTGTTTGAGTATGTGAATAACACAGATAAATGTATGTTTTATAATAATAATAATAATAATTTTTTTTTAATTCATTTCATTTGAATGAACAATTCATTTTCAAAATCATTGTTAAATCATTAAGTGTGTGAATGACACAAATAAACACATGATTTATTTATAACAACAACAAAAACAACAACATTATTATTATTACTATTATTATACCGATATTGTTAAATTATTGTCTGAGTGTGTGAATAACACAAACAAATGCATGATTTATAAATAATAATGTTCTGATATTGTTTAATCCTTAATAATAATAATAATTATTATTATTTATTATACTGACATTTAATCAGTATAATAAATAGTTGACAAGTTAAATCATTGAGTGTGTGAATGACACAAATAAACACATGATTTATAATAACAACAATAACAACAACAACAACTACTATATTATTATTCTTATTATTGTTATGGTTACTCTTTTCAAAGCTTTTGGTTGAATAATGTGATGTTTAATTGCCTAGATACCTTTAGGGGCCACTGTAAATGTTTATTGTGTACAGCTTTTAATTGTGTACAACCTTTAAGACGTACCACTGTACAGCACAGAGGCCAGAACCACCACATCAGCACCAGACCCAGCAATAGGAAAACAGCCAGTAACGAGATGAGCAGGATGGTTCCATCATACTGCACTCAGAGAGACACACACGTACATCTTCATGAGTATTTGCTGGCATAACACAAATGAACAGGTGAGGAGATTAAAGAAGAGGGCAAATGGTTGCTCCAAGCGATGGAACTTGTTTTTTCACTGCTAATTTGAACTTACGTGACAAAACCAGACTCCTCTGATGAAAGAAAGCAGAGGAGACCTCATAAGAGAAAAAGAAAGAATAAGAGAAAAGGGAAAAGAACAAAATAGTAGTAGACAGCAAACAACAATGTCGAATAGACATTCTGAGAGGCTGAATCACTATCACACCAATCCACCATTCATGTTTTTACAGGCAGAAGTGGTTTTGACAAAGGAACAAAGATGTACTTACACATTCAGTAGTGGTGATGTGCACTGAGCTTGTGATGTAGGACAAACCCTCATTCATGCTAACCTGCAGATATATCACCCTGTAACACACACACAAAAACACTTCAATCACACCTGCTGAAAAAGGCATATTCATTGCATTTCTCAGATGGACATGTGTGAGCTTGCAATGGAGTTATTATTAAAGCCATTATCAGCATTTTCTCATTCAAATTTGAAATCCGGAGCCAGGATTAAAAAATGAAATGGTTAATGTCTGTTTCACACAGCTGCCTGAATGACTTCCGATGCATTCCTCTTTGATGGATAACAACACAGACCCTCAAAGGCCAGCGGCTGAAAGCATGTAGGCACAGGAACTTGACTGATAAGCGTTATCTAAGGTAGAACTATACTTTGTGTGTCTAAACTGTTTTTATACCCCAGGATGCAAACAACAAGGCAAAAGAAACTGGACAAAATGATTATACAGGATTTGTGATTTGATTCTGAGATCTGTTAAATATTTCAAATGGTTCTCAACGTCACAAATGAGATTCAATGGGAATCAAATGTAGACTTTTGCTTAATTCCCCTGCTTTTCAGAGTTTTCTTCCAATAAAAGGCCCTTAAAAATTGCACCTGTGTTGGATCTAAAGTGTTAGAAGAGATCTAAACATCTCTTGCAAATTATCTAAATGTTTCATACTGGGATCAAATTTGCTTGGAAACCAATGTCTGCATTCAATTTATATGCTCACCAAGGCTCCATTTATTTGATCAAAAATACAGTAAAAAGAGTAATATTGTGAATTATTATTACAATTTAAAAAACATTTGTATATTTCGATATATAGTATATTTTAAAATGTAATTTATTCCCATGACATTTCTTATTCTATCAGAAATTTCCAAAAATAACAGAATTTATTTGAAATATAATTCATTTGTAATATTATAAATGTCTTTACTCTCACTTTGGATCAATTTAACACATCCTTGGAGAATAAAAGTGCTAATAAAAGTGCGAAAAAAAATCTTACTGACCCTAAACTTTTGAATGGTAGTGTAAATATATATTATAAATAGAAAAAGATTATATTAGTTCTATGTAATAGTAATAAAATGTGATGTGGATTTTAAACTGGATAAGATCTTCAGTAAAACATCATATTTTAAAATCTTGAGATGAGAAAGAGACGAAAAAGCAGAGTTTGTCATGTGACTGATAACAGTCTATGAAGACATGTTTATGGACATCAAAACTGACAATGTGTCCATTTCCCCTGACAACTTTTTAAAAAATGGAATTTCTCCCAACAGCAGGGATGCTGCCATGTTTGGCTCTACCATGGGCATTCAGAGCGCTGGTATGCCGGAAAAGTCTCAGCTTTCTTGATTTAGGCGACCCCTCTTCTTCTGCTTTGGTGGGGAGAAGACGGAGCTGAAAATAAGTTACTGAAGGGGTATTGCCCCGTCTCCTCTCTGTCGGTCCTGCACACCCCTTCCGGTGCCACTCTGTTGGCAGGATGGGGGATGGGCTGAAAGGGGGCACAACAGGATAACAGGGGGTTGGGGGGGGGTGTCCAGTGACAGATCCATCTCATTTTCCATCAATCAGGAAGCGACTGGCTCTTTTTGAGCACATCTTCAGGAGGCCACTCAGTCACACCACGCGTTTAGGTGACAGCACTGACAGCTTCATCTCACAAGATGTGAATACAGAGGAGGAGGACAGGGCAGACTTTGCCCCAAAATCGCCTTTTCTTACCCCTCAAAAATGAATGAACATTACTCACATGGTCTTCTACAATCAGATTATACAGACATCACTTGACTTAATGGTTGGTCTTATTATACCACAGCATCAAAGTTTGCATTAGAGGATGGCATTTTTAATTTCAAGTGATTCCATTGACTCTAATTAGCCTGAATAATACCACCCCTCTTGTTACTGGATTATGATGGAATGTTTCATCTCCATTTTTCCCTTATATGAATACATACCACATCTGCTTGACTTTTGAGAGACCTAGACCCTAATCTAATTCAATAATCACTAAATCAGACTCTAATACCACAAGATGGTATCCAGAAATGTCATTGCAAAATAAACATCATCTTACCAATACATGACTCTCCCTTTCTCACTTTCGGCTGCTATAATTAAATATTTTCAATGTTAACTAAAAACTAAAACTAAAAATTATTATTAAAAAATATAAAATATAAAAAATAAAAAATATATTAAAAACCTAAAATTAAGTTTAAGTTGTACTAAAATGTACTAATAAATATAAATTGAAAAAAAAAATAATGACAAAAGCAGATAATTGCTAAAACTTCAACCAAAAAATACTATATAAATAATACTAAAATAACACTGCTCCTGTTAGAGGTCACCAACCACAGTGGATAATCCACCTTTTTACTTGGCATGTTTCATGCCAGATTATTACACGACTGTTCACCAAATAAATAAATAAATAAATATGTGAGCATGAAATATTGATTTTATCAAATTTTTTTTTTTTGTAATCTTACCTGAATATTATCTAAAAGCTTCTGCTAATAAAAATAACAGTTAATTATACTCAGTAATATTAATACTGAAGTATTTTGAGGTCATTGTCACTATGCATGTCATTTGCATGAAACGAGAGAGAGTCTGATACGAGATGAAATGAAAATAGTGCTTGTTTCAGTTACTGGATGAGCTGATTGATAAAAAGTATTATATTATTAAGAAATCTTACTAAGAATATTAAGAAATATCAGACTGCTGGATGGTGCAAATGACCAGTCAGAACTGAGTATTCTAGAGAGTCGTAATAAATAAAAATATTATGTATTCTATATTCTTGGGCAATATTATTATTAATCCACAATTAGGCAATTCGATTATATCCGATAACAAATATTGCTAAGAACGCATGAATTAATCAAAAGTTTTGAATGAATGGAAAGTGCTGAATATTGATATACCAACAGCAGCTGCTTTTGTGTCACATTAGCAAATGCAACGCAATACAATATGCAGTGATGTAGGCTCACCAAGAGTAGAAAAACAGCCCTGTTTTGCTTAAGGTGCCATGAGAGGCTCCTTCATTGGCACCTCAAAGAATCTTCCTGACAAGAACAAGACAGATGAAATCCTCAAGGTGTCTACAGTCGGCAGTACACATAATTATTCAGAGAGCTTGCAGGGAAATGAGCCGCCACCAGCAGCTCATTTGTTGTAGAAGGCCTGGTAAGTAACCTGTAGTGAGTCTCCGGGGCTCTGCTCTGGCTGATGTGGATATGAGCGGCTCTGTATTTCACTGTCTGTTCTTTTCTCTCTCAACTCAGAAAACCACCAGAGCCCTGGGCTAACATGCACACTCACTGGGAACTTTTCACGCAGGTCAAGCCCATGGTGACTAATCTCTCAGAGAGGCTAATTATACACTCATCTCGGGCTTTTTACACCACATGCCTGTTGTCTCGATGTGTTAGGGTGCGTGGAGATTGACTGATAAGAATAATTCCAAACGACATTGACCCTAATTTTTTCAAGGGTACCAATGCATTAAGCTATAAAATGGCAGGATGAAGTGCACTTACTTTCCAGCCTCATTTAAGATTGGTGCAGGGCAAAGAAGGAGCGTATCTTCAACACTGACAGGTCTTTCATCTGAAAATGAATTGCATGAAAAAGAATAAGATACATTTTCATTGATAATCATCATTTAGACCTACTCTCAGGGTAAATACTTTATTATTGCTATAACAGAAATGTCCGTTTATATAATAAAAGAATGTTGCACACATTATTTTTGTGTTTTCATAGAGCTTAAAAGAAGAATGCAACATTAAAAAGACTGTTTGTAAAATAATGTTACTTACTCAGTGTAGCTGTGTCATTCACTCTGAAGCTGCACAGGACCTGATTGATGTTTCTGGCATGCAAAAATCCATTTCCCCTCACAACCACTTGGAAAGAGTCTTAAAGAAACACAAACCAAAATGTAATAATAAACATGTACCAAGTCCTTTTACTGCATAGTGAAATTCCTATGTTTTTTTCCCAGAAAAAAAATGTAACCAAAAATTAGATTAAGTAGCGTTTTTATGTACTGTTTATACTGAAATAATGGTAACGCTTTAGATTACAACCCGCAATGTACTGCGTAAGTAAACAGAATTTACAGCGTAACTTTTTTGTAATTACAGTGTATTCAGTACCTCCGTGTAGGTATAAGGTAACAATATGCGAAGTTTGGGGAATAAAGGAGTAATAATCTGTAAAATTACAAATTATTTCTACTGTAAGTATTTTGAAACTAAGGAGTACCTATTCTAATATTACAGGGTATGTATGACCTCTTATATTTGCAAGCGATTAAGCAAAAACATACACTGTGTACTTTTTTATAGCCTACACATATAAAACACGCTGGTAATTGTTTCAATCCAAACGCTCGGTTGAGACTGCTGGGTTAGGAAGCTGGCTTGATTTGACCCAATTTGGGTTGATATCAGTAATAACCCGACGTTGCTGGGTTACGAATGTGGAGGACGTGAATGAGAGCACGCAGCAAGTCACGTGAGTTCAAACATGAACAGCTCTGTGTGCGACGAAATCCGTGACTGCGGTGCTTAAGACGGGTAAAACCGGGAACTGAAATATGTTAGTCAAAATGGTGCTTGAGGACGTGGATCAAAACGGTAAATCAAAGACAGTAAAATCCTGTCAGTTCGCTATAATACACAGTTTAATCTTGACTTTCAGTGTTCATTACTGTGTGTTTATTGGCGTGATGGGTTGGCCATAATAGTTTAACTAGTCATTACTAGTTAATCAACTAACGTTAATCATTAAATCAGTAGGTGAAAAACATGAACAAATTGAACAAAATCTATCCTTAAACAAGCTTTTCAAAAGAATTTGGTTTAACTGTATAATCTGTATAAGTATGGAGTTGCTTTGCTTTTTTTCTGAACTGGTGTAATAAATTTTTATATTTTATTAGGCTATCTGTTGCCTGTGTTGTTACTGTTGTCATATTGTGTGTGATTTTAATTTTAAAACCCATTTTGGGTTAATTTAACCCAGCAGTAGGCCTATAGTAAATTGCAAACAATATTTGAATTAAATAAAACAGTCCACCATGTTTATTGATACATTACCTGATATATAATGTATGTATGTATGACCTACTGTATAAACAATCGTTTCAGAGCAATTTGTGGTAGCCACTTACCATGTAACTACATGGAATAAGGGGAGAACAAGCACCGCTTTCAATTACAGCCCGCAAATGTTGTATTTACACTGTAACTACATGGAATAAGGGGGGAACAAGCACCGCTTTAAATTACAGCCCGCAAATGTTGTATTTACACTGTAACTACATGGAACAAAGAGGTAACAAGCACCACTTTAATTTACGGCCCACAACTGTTGTATTTACACTGTAACTACATGGAACAAGGGAGGAACAAGTTGGACTTAAACACAGAACAAGTGTATAGTTGCACAGTAATTACAGAGAAGAATATTGCACTAGTTTTAATTTAATTTAAATGGCCAAATTAAGCCCTCTACATTTTTTTTTGCTATAAAAACACCACAGTATACATCCACTGAAATACAAATGTTGTATCATGTATTTTTTCTGCGAACAGCTGGAAAGAGGTAAACTTGTTTAAGCTGCATTGAACCTTGAAGGTATATCATGCAAAGTTATTTGGTATTTATATTTGATAGTGGTGTTGTGAAGTTGCTGAGATCGACAAATAAGCTTTCATAAGGTCAGTAGACTCGTGAATTATAAATCATAGCAGAAACTCATTAACTCATTTCACTAGATGTCCAGTTTTGTTGTTCAGTAATCTCCATCATGTCCATCCTTTAATAATAGAATGTGTACCCCATGGTTAAAAAATACCTATACGCCTGTAATAAAATACCAATATAAAATTATAAAAAGTATATATAGTTTTTCTAAATCATTCCCAAACATAAGATTGTTGTTTAGGCCATACATACCACGTAATATTAGAATAAGCACCTCTTAGTTTCAAAATACTTGCAGTATAAATTATTTGTAATTTTACAGGTTGTTACCCCTTTATTCCCCAAACTTAGCATATTATTTCCTTATACCTACACGGAGGTACTGAATAGGTACACTATAATTACAAAAAAGTTACACTGTAACTTCAGTTTACTTACGCAGTTCTTTGCAGGTTGCATATCTGGGTTTTACCCCCTTATTACCCAAACGTAACACATTGCTCCCTTATACCTACACATATGTTCTTTATAGGTACACTATAATTACAGAAACGTACACAGTAAATTCAGTATACTTACATAGTTCTTTGCGGGTTGTAATCAAAAGCGTTACCGAAATAATTTTAAAGTATGAGAAAAATGCCTACATAAGGCTGTGCCGGCTTTTTAGATCTTTATTTCATGTAGACCTTTTCCAGAAAAAAAAAAAAGCCATGCTCTAAAATTATAAAGTGTGCTCAGCCAGAGGCCAGGTTTTTTTTTCTTCTTCCCCCCCTCCCACTCTTAACCTTTCAGGAACACTCAACTCAACTGGGTAAATGCATATGCTCCAGTGGTGCTAATAATAAAAGTGAAGAGGTTCACAAATATCTAGGAGTCATGTAGCTGGAGGTGCTGTGTTGGTGGCCGACAACGCTGACTGCCTGACCTTTGAGACCCCCCAGGCAATGCTGTAGACCCTCTGACGGCTGCTAAGCAGCATATGTTAGAGAGAAAAACACGCTCACTTAGAAGCTGTCTCAGCAGGCGTCAAAGGATGCAGAGTGGATGTGACCTTACTCATGGCACTGCACACACCAGTGTGCATTTGAGGAGATTTGAGTGGATTAGTACTGATTCTGCCATTCATCTCTAAATAATGCTACACCTTTAGAAAATGTTCTTGTTGTAAACCTTTAACATTTAAGTGCATAAAGTTCACATGATGAGAAACATTCTGTGCGGTGTGCCATCAGGGAGAGACAGTTGTATGGAAAGGTCAGGAGAATATACTGTAAGTGTCAGTTCTCTTCTTCTGTATCACACCAGCATTTGAAGCTTCAAATCATGAATATAGTAGATTTCCTCTTTTACTTTTAATAAATAAACACCTAAAAACTTTAAAGTCAATGTAATTTGCCATTCACAACTAATTTACTTTCGTGAAATAAGGATATTCAACAAATATGCTAAAAATATGGGACAACACTTGGATGGATTTTATTCATCAGAAATTGTTAAAAGTGGGCATTAGATACCAGGAAGGAGCCAACTCTGAATGTGAGTTTGCCAAAATAATTTGAATATCGGTTAACATCATCCAATTTCCCTCATGGCCTAAGTGACATCAGCAGAAAAGTAATTTTTAATAAAATTGTGATGTAATGGAAGTAGCAACAGATGTTTTATCCTGGAACATACATACAAGTGAAATGGATTATCGAAAAAGAAAAAAAAAAAACAGACTAAATGACAAAAGAAGCCTGGCATACATCACCATAGAGAAGTCTGTCGTGTCACTGGAAGATCAATTTATGATATTTTTAGTTAAAAATTAAGAAGTCCAAAATAAGTAAGTAAATAAATGACTAAATAATGTATGCATGGATGAATTTTTCACAATAAGATCAATAGCAGGCATTTATATAATAGACTTGAATTTTCATTTCATGCGAACTTTAAGGATTACAAAGACAAATTTATTCTTTGGAGTAACATGCAACAATTAATCCATCACAATAAGGCCAGGAGTGTGCATTAACAATGTAAACAGGGTCAATTTTGTTAACTCTAAAGATCCTTCATTCAGTATATGTACATAAGACCTGGCGAACTGAAAAGGCTGATCATGGGAAAATTTGAGTCAAAAAAATTCTCAGCATGTCTCTTGTCTCATCATGGATCTACCAAAACAAATTCCACTCCCATCCGATCCAATTAACCTGTCATTTCCTCTCTAATTATACTAATCCTGTCTGCCATGCAGAAGCCCCTCTCCACCCCACCTCTGCGTCTAAATTTGCCCAGCTCTCTTGCACATGCCTGCTTAATGTGACGTCCATACAGCTGAAATGGCTAATTCCATTTAATTTTGGAAGCCGGGCATCGACATCCATGTCCTTTTCTTCCCTCGTTACTGTCGGACATGGTGTGTCGGGTTCTGACAGGAAAACGCAGGGGTAAAAAGGTCAACACTGGCTTGGCAGCGGGCAGCGCTGGCAGCGAGATGGTGGGCAGGGGCTGGTACGCTGTCTGCTTGCGCCCGTTGTGCTGCACGGGAGAGCTGACGCTTCCCATCCACACCTGAGAGCTTGATGGCTTGGGCTGTTTAGAGCAGAGGTGCCACGTCTGAGCACGGACACTTCAATCACTGCCCTAACTGGGGGATGGGGCGCAGAGGAATCACAAAGGTTAATCAAAGCAACGATTGCTGTCATGTTTGATGGCTGGGCCTCCTCACAGAACAGCGAGTAATGGCCTGTTTGCAGGCTGCATGGGCTGGTCACTTCTCATCAGTTTGATCGCTGAGACTGTCAGGCATGGGAGCTGCGGTCACAGCACACTAAACCAAACCACTAACCACAATCAGATTAGCCCAAAAGTAACCCAAAATTGTCCCAGATTGTCCCATGCTTCAAATGAATCTTCGGCTAAACTGTAATATTTAGAAGAATATAATGCACTTATGGACGTATGAGTAATTTCTACAGTGCATTACTTCAAGGATTGATTTAATTACAACAATGTTTCATTAATGGCATTCACTGCCATTTAATGTTTCCAATAAGGATCATGTTAATGGACACTAAACCAAACCAAATCAGTCAACTAAAACACCAAACCAAAACACTAACCACGATCAAATTAGTCCGAAAAATGAGTCCCAAGCTTCAAATGCAACTTTGGCTAAACTGTAATATTTAGAGGACTATACTACATGTATGGCTGATGGTAATTTTCACAGTGCATTACTTCAAGGATCGATTTAATTACACAACAATATGTTTAATTAATTACGACATTCATTATCATGCAATGTTTCCTTAAGGATCATGTTCATTAATCACGTTAATCTAAGTGACTTGGGGTCATTAACTGTTTTGTTTTGGATTAGTGGTTTTAAAATAAAGAAATAATACAAGATGATTGTTAAAGGAATAGTTTATCGTAAAATGTAAATGATTTAGCCTTATGTTGTTCTGAAAGTTTTTTTTTTTTTGCTGAACACAAAAGAAGACATTAAAAAATATTTCGTTTTTAGTATCTTTTTGTCCTTACAGTGGAAGTCAGTGCAGTCTATTGGTGTTTTGGACAACACTGACTTTCATTGTATGGACAAATACAGTTGAAACATTTTTCAAAATATCTTCTTTTATGTTACACAGATAAAGACTAATATGGGTGTGGAACAACATGAAGACGAGTAAATGATTTACATTTCTGGGTGAACTATCCCTTTAAAGCTAATTTAATACAAATAATGACAATGATATTAATAATTTTTATTTAAATAAACTCATAAACTAAAATATATCTTAGTGCTAAGCCACAAAAGTATAAGTGTGTGGTCAAACTGCAGGGATATTGTTGTTTTAACCACCATCGTTTGCCAGTGGTCACTGTGTGCCCTCTCTCTCTCCCCCTCTGTGTGCTTCAGGCTTTGATGTCCCATAACTTGACAGAGAACTTATTGTTAGGAATGCTCAAGTGAAATTAGAGAGCTGTTTTTTTGCCTGGCTGGTTTTTCCTGGCCTAGTTTGCCACATCGGATCTGTTGTCTAGCCGAGGTGCTGCTGAATATCTGTGCTGCAGTTCCGCTCCGCCTTTACCAGTGAAATGTCCATTTGTTTAATTGGCTGCTGCTCAGCAGACAGGCCTGCCACATTGAGCACTGGTGTGTAGGCCAGAGAGGATGGATGTGGCTTGACATGACCTTATTAGCATGCACTTACTGCTTGAGAATGCACTCACAGCGCCGTCTCCTTGGTGATGCAAACAGGCGGATTAGCTCTGCCCAGACATGATCAATTTTCATTTTCTGGTGAGTGCAAGAGAGCGCAACTCGCGAGCTTCCATTACGCCGCTCAGGGCTTTCACACAATTAGCACAGACAAGCTTTATGTGTATTATGGTTTGCGCACTGTCCTCTCATATTCTTTTAAACACAGACAGATTTAATATAAAAATCAAGGTGTTAATTACATTTATTTTCAAATGATTACAAAAACATTATCATGGTGAGTGTTGAGGTAACTCTTACCTCCAGCGCATACACTGGACGGCTCGGCTGCTAAAATCTCAATGCAGGATTTCTTGATGATCTACAAAGAAAAAAAAGGAGTGCCAGAGTGCTTAGTACTCCGTATACACAGACTTTTTACAGGAGCAATTGCATTCTGTAACCAAATTAACTCAAACTGAACTATTAACGGGTAATGCAGTAATGTCACTCTCTTTTGGATGCTGACAGCTCATCTAAATTGTTATGCTTTTATATCTCTTCATAAAAGCAGCATAATGTTTATATCTTCCAATTGCATCTCTTGCAATGTGACTTTATTTCTCACAGTGTGATTGTATCTCGCAATGTGACTTATTTCACATTAGGCTTTTTTATCCCGTAGTGTAACTTTATATCTCAAAATGAAACTTTGTCTCACAATCAGATTTTTTTATCTTACAATGTGTGTTTACATATCACAATGTGACTTTATATTTCACAATGAGACTTTTTCGTTTATCTTGCAATGTCACTTTATATCTCACAATACCCTGTTGAAAAAAACAGCATAAACCAGCAAAGGACCAGCTTAAACCAGCATCCCAGCATCAAAACATACCTAACCAGCATATGCTGTTTTTTTCAACAGGGTAAGACTTTATCATCTTGAAATATCACTTTATTTCTCACAATGTGACTATATCTCGCAATGTGATTTTATATCTCTCAATGATAATTTATATCTCGCAATGTGACTTTATCAGAATCAGAATCAGAATCAGAATGAGCTTTATTGCCAGGTATGTTTACACATACGAGGAATTTGTTTTCGTGACAGAAGCTTCCACAGTGTAACAGAATGACAGTGACAGAACAAAAAACACAGATAATAAAAAATAAAAAAATAGAGGTGAAATATCGGGTGGTGTGTACTGCCGAATGTCCAGCAATTCGTCTCTGGTGAAACTGATTGCAGGGATATAACTAAAGACAGGACAAACTAACTGTCTTTAGTTATATCTAAAGACAGTTTATATCTTTATATCTCAAATGAGACTATATCTTGCAATGTGGCTTCATATCTCAAATATGATTTTATATCTCACAGTGTGATACATTATATTTTTTTCTACAAAAATATCAGACTCCAAATGGGTTAAACGGTTGCCATGGGATCCATGTTTGTTATTTACAGCTGCAAGATGCCAAAAATCACAATTTTGAGAGTGACTCCTGTCTTTCGTACGCACATGGTGGGATACTTTAGGTGATTCACTCTCTCATTTAAATGCAGCTGTCGCTACGAAAACTTTAACTTGTATACGTAGCCAAGGACAGAGAGAGAAACAGAGAAACTCACAGAGTCTATCATTCCTTCAAGGGCCTGGAATCCTCCAATTACAGGGAACACATGCGCTATGGTGTCTGCAATTGTGGCCAGCTAAACAAGTAATACAATACAGGTTTACAGAGACACCTCCAATACAGAAAATATGGTTAAATTCTGAGGTGCCACTAAAGCAACTTATTGTGCAGTGGTGCTGAGTTACCTGTGTCTGGTTGAAGTCTTTTACACCCACACAGTATACGATAGCTCCCAAAGACCGAGCTCTCTGCGCCTGCACATAGATGGGCAACAAATAGTCAGCTCTATTACTGAGCAAATGCCACTGTCAATTACACATCTGCCAGAGAACATGCCACATCCGTTGCGACATCACTGGCTTGTGTACTTGCCTCTTGCTGTGCTGTGACAAACTGATAGTCATTTAACTCCCCATCCGTCAGTGCTATGATCACACTGGCTGTCCCTGTGAAATAAACATCATCTCATTGAGGCGTGATTTTCCCAGAATAAAAGCGGAAGTGTGAATGAATAGCATGGTAATTCAAAGTGGCGTTTACCATAATTTCCGTGATATATCTGCTCATTTGCCTGCAGTTTAAAAGCAGATGTTTACAGCATTAATGCAGGAATTTTAACCATCGTAGAATCAAAAGATTAGAAGATTGATGTTTGAGTGATTAGTACTCAATATACACAGACTTTTTATAGAGGTAACTGCATTCTGCAACCAAATTAAAACAGCATTAATGCAGGAATTTTAACCATAGTAAATCAGAATACTAGAAGATGATTCAGTGATTGATTTAAATTGACTCATTTGATTCAATAAGAAAAAGATACCTGTTTCAATCCGAGATTCATATATGTATCACCTCCTGGTATTTCTCTCTTCAAAACATTTAAGCCTCTCGTAATTTCATTTCTGAATGACAGATGATGGAGGAAAGTTATTACAATGCACACAAACAATATGTGTATTTCTGTGCAACATTAACATTGTTTTGGATGCTGATGTGTGTGATACCTGTTCTCTGTGAGTTTCATAACTGTTGTTCCGTGAGTTGAGAACACAATGAAGGACATCCGTAACATTGGGCTGTAAAAAACAAAATAATAATAATAATATCGCATATTGTTCCTTAAAGGTATCACAATATGTATGTACAATAGTACATCAAAACTAAAGCAACTTTACCTTATAAATTTCTCTGCAAGATGCTCCACAAAGGAGTAAATTTCAATCCAGTGGTTTTTGACACTTCCTGACCTATAATAAAATCAAACATGTTGAAAAATTGCATGCTTCAAAGAGTCAGAGGCACTTCTGTGCATTATAGTGGCTGCCTTAAACACAATTACATAACAATTACCATCTTTTCTTACACTATCTGAGAGTAGCAGGTCCTTGAGTACTCTATAAAATGCGCACATGCCACTAATTAATTACAGGCCCCACAGCGTTCCCAACAAGGGCTAATTGCCTTTGTGCCAGATGAATCTGCCTCCTGCTAGCAGAGAGCAACTCCCCTTCTTCCTGGAGCCAGCCATTTGAATGGGAACAGATGGCAATGGTTGAGTGTAACAGGTTGGGGTCCAAAATAGAGCTGGCATCTACATCAGCAGCCAAAAAGGCTCACAGCTCCATCTCTGACAGGGAGTCAGGAAACATAAAACTGGACATGTGGATCTAGCAACAACAGCAGCAATCAACGCTAATCTGATGTCAGTTCTAAACACCTGCAATTTTATATATTGATATACCATGGCTCCAAAATGGACATTTGGGCCACAATTGCAAAAAAATGCATCACAAAAAGTACTTAAAATAGATGTATGTTGCTGCATTAGATTATAAAATGTGAAACAAATGGGCATTTATTTTAAAGAAACACAGCACAAGCACAAAAAGAAAGTTTCAGTTAGTCAGCTTAAAATAATATATGCTGTTCAAAATGAAGACAAAAAGCAATTGGAAACTTTCTGGCTGTAAAATCTTAGTGGAAAATGTCCATAGTTAATGGGATGAACTACAGCTGCTAGTTACTCTGCACCTGTGTGTACTAAAGGGGAACTGACTCCATATACTGCATTCAAATCCCTTTAAGACCAACTGGTTAAAGTAAAATGGCAACAAAAAGTAGTTAATTCAAAGTCGAGCATAATTTGTTTGCAGATGACATAAATTTGATATTTTGTTATACAATGAAATTACATTCAGACATTTTAAGTGTGGCTAAAGTGTCTAAAATACTTTTTGGGGCCACTGAAATAAGTAATTAACTTGAATACAGTGTGCAGCAGTCTAGAATAACAAGACTGTGCTGGTTTCCTTTAAATGTAGCTTGATCCTGGCTTTATCTATTATCCTCTAAACTAAAATCAATCTTCAGCAAACCACTGACTCAGAATATTGTTATATTAAGAAGCGCTAGCTCTGTCCGCTCTAGGAGCCATAAATTAAAAGGAGTCACATACAGTGACATAAAACTAGTTCTCGTTCCACTGATAATCAAATGTATTTTCTCTCTGAAAAGCAATGGAGCTGCTTTTCTTTCCAAAACTCTCTGAACCGATGGCCTGATATTTACAATTAGTGTAGGGTCACTGAGTGGCATTTAAGGCCTCGAAGATTCAGCCAGAACCATTCAGCTGATTAAAAGTGTGGAAGTGTGGCAAAAGCCTGATGATGCATGCAGTCCCTTAGGTCTCTAAAGGCATTCAGAAAACTTTACAAACAGAAGAGCAAACTGTGAAGTGTAACTAAAATGCATTTGCACTCCAAACATAGCAACAAACGGTTATAACTGGAAGAAATGACTATGTTTTCAAAATGTATCTTAATTTTGTTCTGATATACTCATTTAACCATATCCCTTCAGATTTATCAGAATTCACTAAATGAGCAAAATTATTGTCTAAACTGTACAGACATTGCTACTGTATGTTGCTCTTGAGCTTTTACTTCATATTTGACTAAAATCTGATGGCCACAAAAGGTATTCATTTATAACATTCTCTAGCATGCTCCAGCATGTTTAAGCTTGTTTTGGGTATTCACAGCTCCAAGGGGCTAAATAATTATGAGTAGGATGCCAGTTACTCTTCACTTACACTCACTAAGAGCTCATTACACATTTAAATATGAATATTTGCATTCTACAAAAATAACATGTAAACAACTGGCTGCAGTTGTAAGTTGCAATAAAAATACAGTATATGCATTTTTATTTATCTTGAGACATCTTATTTTCTTTGTTAGAAACGGGTATCTGCTAACTAATAGTGCATGCATGCTCTTGTGATGAGATCTCTCTTTGCCTTTTATGATTAAGAGATTATGATACGCAAATGTGCATGTGAACTTCACCAGGTGAGAGAAAATCATGCTTGTTAAAGCATCGCCCGAGGCAGAGTCCTGTCCTCCAATTCGCCGCAGTCTAAAGCCATTTAACAAAAACTTCAGGAATCCACCATGAGGAAAACAATAAGCACTTTGCATGTTAATAGAGACAGTGAATGGTTAGCTGTTTATATGGATTTGGAGTTTTCAGTTCATCCTGCCATATATGCATCCTGGTCTCCTTTAGGAATAGATATTTTCCCACAATATATCGCCAGACGTTTTCTGGTAGAATATACCTAGAAATTACTATCCATTTAAAAATATTAATGAATTGTTTTCATATTAAAGCATTTGGATCAATGCAGTTCTGTTATTCGGCTGTCTAAACGAATGACTGTGGTTATAATAGCGGTGCTCGCGCGTTTGAGGGCGTCAGAGGCGTCGCGCAGCAGTGCGCGGTGAGAGGAGAATAAGATGCCATAAATATGAAGGCCACTTACTTGTCGAGGACAAAATATAAGTCGAAAGCACCTTGACAAGACCTCTTCTCTTCCTCAAAATAAGGCTCAGCTTTTCCAGTAGGAAACTGCATCAAAACCACTAAAATACCCACAGCAATCAGTGAACATGCCATTTCATCAGTTTATTCTCTCCAAAAGCACAGGGATAAAACTGCATTTCATGTTACTCCTGCAGAAAATGAAAACAACTCTTTTCCAAGAAATTTATTCCTTAAACAAGATATTTGAATGTCTTGTCACAGAGTTATATCCCGACCCGCAGTCATCTGAGTCCGCTTCCAAAACACAGAAGCTCCTCCTCAAGGAGAAATGTTTGGAGGAGCGACCACAGACCGGATGGCGAGCAGGCAGCCAACAGCTACTGAAACGTCTTCTTTCCGGGAGAGGGAGAATGTTGGCTTCAACGAAATTCCTTACATTTTATTTGATATTATGTTATTCGAATCACTCAAGCTTTATATATAATGAGTAAAGTGAAACATTTTTGAAGGTATACCTTTTTTTCTGAAATAAAATGATCACTAAAGCATTCTTAAAAATTAGAAACAGGCTGAAGAGACACAGCAGAATGTTACAAAAAAAAATTCATCCTAAGTTACATAAAAGTTTCCATAGTTGGAGAATCGTCAATAAATCGAACAGTTGAATTTTAATTCGATATTTTCTACTTGTTATGTATCTGGGTTTAGGATACGTTTTAAATGTGCATACAGAATGAGCATAGAGTCTTTTGTGGTACTCCTGACAATCTAACGGTCTCTTGACTTCTGTCATTTGATTACCCTCGCTTCTAATTAACACTCCTGGAAAGCCAGTGAAGCACCAATCAAATTGCCACCTAGGGGAGGGGTTGGGGGTTTGGGAAGAAATGAGGCGCATCAGCTCCGCGTCCTCGGCGTGGATAAGTGCCTGTCAGGATCAGGAGACGGTCGTGATCGCGCGCTCTCTGTGGATAACTGCAAATCGCGTCTCCTTGGACTGTGCACCTGCTCCTGAACATCCTCAGCTCAAACCTGCTGTAAGTGAGTCGCAATTTTACTGCATTTAATTTCGTGAGATATTACATTTTATACGAAAATGCATGCTGATTATAGGGATTTAAACGCTATTTACAGGCTAAAGAATATCAAGCCAAAGGTAAAATAACAGGGAAAATTGTAAAGTACTGAATTATCCATCGATTTCGCAAAATACATAGACCGATTAATTTGTTTTTTAATCTTAATCCAACTGATTGAATCACTGCATAAATATATTTCCAATGTCCCAGTGTTTCAAAAGAATACCGATCAAAAGCATTAGGATATTCAAATCCAGATTGCCCCATTAATCCAATTTAAGCATGAAAACATTATTTTCTTGTCTTCCTCTTTTTTTTAAACTTTTCATCATTTGAATTCAGATTTTCAGGAATAAAACATGGAACAGAGTATTTTTCCTCGCTCCTTGTGGACTAATGACAGCAAATTTCTACATCACCATGTCGCGGATTTCTTCACCAGTGTACAAGTTACACAGGATATACCTGCTGGAACATCTTTCGGACCTTGTGTTCTTCATAATACCTTTTATGACACTATAGCCTTCATTGCATTGAAGTCCTCTGACAAACGGAATAAATCATATGTATTTCGGGTGAGTAATTTAGCATTTTACTGCATTTTCAAACATGCATACATTCACATTTACATTTTTACACCTAGATTTTTATTTTAGGCAGCAGAATTTGCCTAGATTTACAGAAATGGTCTTGTCCTGTAAATGAAACATGCGTTATCCAGACATATAATTTGTTATATACTATATACTGCAAAAAATCAATTGTTAACTATTTTATTGTAAAATGTAATTTCTTCTAATGTCAAATATGTCCCACTATCAACAGGTAGATCCTGAGGCGATGAAAGGTTCTCCATTAGTAGTTCCTTGGCTGCGGTTAGTACAGGCTGCAATGAGCGCAGAAGACCAGAATACTGAGGCCTACTTGAAAGGAGGACAGCTGCACTTTCAGACTATTCGAGATGTGAAGCAAGGGGAGGAACTGCTTGTTTGGTATGATGAGGAGCTGTCACATCTTTTGGGGTTCGAAGACATAAAGACAAAAGCCCTGACAGGTGGTGAGTATGGGTTGCGTTTTTTATTTAAAAAAATAAAATGTTAAGAATAAAATAATTATTTAATGCTCATTTGTTTGGTATGATGAGGAGCTGTCACATCTTTTGGGGTTCGAAGACATAAAGACAAAAGCCCTGACAGATGGTGAGTATGGGTTGCGTTTTTTATTTAAAAAAATAAAATTTTAAGAATAAAATCATTATTTAATGCTCAAATAATTTGTTAATGTACCTTCAAATTGGTTAGAAATGTCATGAAATATTCATTCATAGGTCAGTGACAAATATCTATATGTAATAAAATAGGTCTAAATTGCAGCTCTTCAAAACTTTTGCACAAGTACTTTGGTATTAGATTTAATTTTAATTAGCAGTCAAGCAATTTTGCTGTAAAATATTTATTTGTAAATTATTATTAATATTTAAGAAAAAAAACTCTCTTTATACCAAAGCAAAGCTACACGCAGGAAGCCATTTTGTTGTCATGTGACACGAAACATTGAATACAGAGGGTCCTTTAGACCCTTATGAATATTTGGTAACAACAAAAAATTTTACGTTTTGTTCAGATCCACAAGACAACTTATCCATGATTCAAAAATGTATTACATTTGTATTTAATATGCAAATGTAATAAATAAATGAATTGTTTATAATAAATGAGTCTGTTGCTTAAATGAGTTTGTTGCTTAAATGAATTGCTTAAATGTTAAGTGTCCTATTATTGTTATCATCGTCGTGGTCTGACAGCGCTTGTATCTTCATATGCAGGCTATACATGTACGAGATGCGGCCAGGCCTTCAAAAACGAAAACCCTTTCCTTGCCCACTGTCGTTTTTTATGTGTGCAGGAAAAAGTAGATATTATTCGACCAACCAACGAACAGAAACAAGAAGTCAAGCGACAGCGCAAAATCATAGATTTTCACAACATTGCAAGAGATCTGGAGCACAAAAAGAACGGTTCTCCTGAAGACATGGGCATACCTAGGAAAAGAAAACAAGAAGGTTCCTTAAGTCCCCGGAGCAAAAAAACTGTGTTATTGGAGAAAATCAACATCACTAATTACAGCAACACCGCCAACGTCAACACAGATGGTCCACCTTTTCAGGATTTGTCAGAATCAGACAATTTATCAACAAATAAGCCAAAGAGAAGTAAAAGCAGCGCATTTACCGAGGTTAGAAAACCATCAGAGCAGTCAAACCCCGAGCAGACATCACGGGATGTAACGACGTCTGAAGTAGGCCTGCAATCCGACTGCAGCGCGTTCTCGTTCGTTGTGCCCAAGAGCGCGCACTCGGAACAGAAGAGCGCGTTCTGTGAACCCAACAAACGCACCATCACCGAAGTTCAGAATCCTTCACCACCAGATTCGGATAATATCTCAGACTCTTTCAAATTAAAACCTGCACTAGGATACAGAAACGTATTGGCTTCGCACCTGTTTCACTCTGACTTGCCAAGCGCTCATGCAGGTGGAGTGATGTCCGTTCCTCTGGCTACAGGAGGATCCTTTTATTACGCGCCCGAGCATTGGACCAGAGCTATAGGTGGCCAGCTACAGTCTACTTCTTCTTTGACACTTTTGCCCCCTACTTTCACACCACGCGGTGTTTCAGTGCAGAACTGGTGCGCCAAATGCAACCTCTCATTCCGAATGACCTCCGACTTGGTGTTTCACATGCGGTCACATCATAAGAAAGAGTTCGCCGCAGAGGCTCTGGTGAGGTGGAGGAGAGAGGAGAAACTCACCTGTCCCATCTGTCACGAGTACTTTCGAGAGCGTCACCATCTCTCACGTCACATGACATCACATAATTAAGAAAAAAAAAACTCTATCGCACTTTAACCAGGTACATAGAAGTTATTATTTAAAATGCATTGCCCATAAATAATGCATTTATACTGTGATTTATATAACACCTTTGCGCCTACCTAGCTGACAAAAATATGTTCTAAGACCGTTTTGCTAACGTTAACATTGAGTTATGAAAACGTTATTTCTTAGGGTTCTCTGACTATTCGAAACGTTGAGTTTTTAAATGTTTGACGTTGGTTATACGACCGTTAAGGGAACATTCCATTTTATCATATTGCAAACATTATGGGAAAGTTAGTTTTGAATATTCTTTGAAACAAGTTCTAAAACAAGTAGTTGACGAACGTCCAGCTAAAACGAACATTCAAGTTTTGAGAACATTACTAGCCTAAATACCAGATCACTTTGTATGAACATTATATTAACGTTACTGGTTCAGGGGAAAAAACGTTGAGAGAACCTTGCCAGAATGTTTTGAGAACATTTTCTGTTAGCTGGGTAGGTTGCTATTGGACAGTATTTTTCTGTCGCAATACAGAAAACCGTGAACCTTTCAACTCTTTACCTTTGGTAAAAAGTCATTATCTTTTTCTTCAAATGTCATAGTCATTTCAGCAATGTAGGCCCTGTCCCAAATGGCACCCTAAACCCTCACGGCCTTCCTCTGAGTCCGCACTTTCGTGACGTAATGCCGCTTTGACTGTCGGGTAGAAGTCTGCTGCGGAGCTCGCCCCGGTGCGGGCTCGGCAGAAGTGCGGATCGAGGGCGCATAACGGCCTCAAAGGGGGCGCTCGCGAGCACCCTTCTGAACTCTAAAATGACGAATGGGACACTCTACGGTCTCGTGGACTTAACGGACACGCGCACGCGGCGGCCATTGTAAGTCCGTAAGACCGCAAGTGCACATGAATTGTTCCATTTGGGACAGGGCCGTAGTCTTTGAAACGGTGGGCTTTGGTAGTGCAATTCAGGGTAGGACTACATCGCCACTAGGTGGCTATAGACATGCATAACTTTCTCTTTAGAGATAGCTGTACCTAGTACATTTAGTTGTGACTAATACTGTTGAATTGCCTGGTCATTTTCAACTTAACAGTGCCTTACATATGTCAGGATGAGTAGCCTACATGTAAATGCGCTTGAAAAACGGTAGAATAAAATGCTCCAGCATTTTCAGGTTTGCTAACAGCTGACTAAAACTATTATAAATTAATAACATTGCTTTGTAAAGAGATTTTATATTTGAAATATCCATCACTTCAAAATGCCCAAATTTTTGTTACAATGTTCTTTTCAGGTGTCTACTTCTTTTTAACATTTATATTAGCACAACGACAAGGAGGATGTTTATTTAAATATTTCTTGTTCTGTTCTGTTCTTTTTTTTTTTTTTTTTGATAAATACAGTCATTGTATTTAATTAAAGATATTAAGAACATATTCCCCAGGTGTTTGCCTCTGATTTTAGCCATTCCAAAAAATATGAATCACATCAAGTACCACTCTTTTTTAGAGAACAGTGACACTGAGATGAATCTAGTAGTTCAATGTAGTTTTGTCTAGTCAATGTAGTTGTAAAATTATTTTTAAAAGTATGTTTAGGAAATAAAGTGTCAGTTTGTATTTAAAATACTAACTTAAAGTGATAACTTTCTTTAAAAATAATGAGGTTGACAATTTTTGCATGAGAATATGAAAATCATTTTAAGTTTTTTGAAACTGGTGTGACACATACACTCACATGCACTAACACTGAGTGACCGGTAGAGTGCACTCTAGCAATTCTGAAATCCCTGAAGCCTCATGACTCTCACAAAGCAGCTGTTATGATGCGAGAATGGTGTTGTGTTCACATTGATCTTCGCCATATGCACAATTCCTAAAAAGTTAGTTGTGCTTTTTTTGTTAAAGCCCCTTGCAAGTCTCCCTTTAATTATAGGCATAAAGTCATAGGTAAACTCAACACTCTGAGAAAGTTCACCAGTTTTGACCAGGTTTATATTCCAAAACTGTATCTTTCTACATCAACACAGATTTAAATAACAATTTTCTAAAAACAATTTAATAACAATTTGCTCTGCTCTGATTCTTATGGACCTTTATACTGAAATTTAATTCATAATCAACTGATCAAAACAGGTTTTGACATAACCTCGAAGTTCAAAAGGACGCCCGTCTGTATTTAGCTATAAACATTCTGCTCATTCAAGAACGTAAATACTGAACTTCTGAAAGATGTGTATACACTGGCCTAATATTGGTGCAATTAGAAGCCCAGCGGTCTGTTCCTGACGGCAATCACTTGAGGAGAGAGCCATTTCATACACACACAAAATCCTGTGTTCGCTCTAAAGAGCATCTTTCATCGCTGCCATTAATTGATCAGGCCTCATTTTGAAAACTAAATATTGACTTTAGTTTTCAGTAACTGTTGAGTTTTTACATTTTGACCAAGCTTCTGGTGTCCCATAGCTACAACTGATTTAAATATTAAAGTGCTCCCCAGGAAACTAAACATTTCCTAAAGGGGACTCATCTGAGAGTTTCCCTCAGTGTTTCTGGGCAGCTTTAGTGGATGTTGGCGTTACATTCTCACATTCTTCTGTTATTTTATGGTCTCTGTGGGAGAGCAAGTGATCTACAATTTAACAAACCTCATTCATGCCGACACTGTCAAAACTAGCCTGAGAGGAAAACAGCATTTGATTACTTTGGAGACCATTTATCATCTCATCAGTTTAGTTGCCGCGAAATTCCTAATAAATTAGTCAGTTGTTGATAACTCTACTTAAAAGTTTTACCTATCCGTGGTTTGCTGGTCTTCCAACCTGGTCAGGTGGTTTTAGAGAGGTTTGTCTGCTGCTGAGGCTTGAAGGCTAGCTGGACGACTAGTTAAAACCACTAGGCTGGTTTAAACAATTGTTATTTTCAGCAAAATAATTGTATTAATTAATAATTGTATAAATTATTTTAATACAAAACAAGTTTGTGAATGTTTTTGAATTCACATTTGTAGAGATAAAGTGTAGTGTTGTGGTAAAAGCAGCAGACACATTCACATCTCTTCAGCCTACAAACATGTTGACATCTTCAAGGGTCTCTTTTCACGCACTGCACAGAGAAGCCATTCAACACTCAACGTCACACAAAGGACAGAAACAGCAGACAGCAACTGGGTTCTGTTCTGTGAGTACACACTTCCCGTTTTCATTCACGGGCTAGTGGGATTAAAAGGGTTTACATCAAATTAGTTTGAGCTGGGTGACATCATCTGTTGAAGTAAGTGTTGGAACTTCCTGCACTTTGTGACCTGATGCTCTTGAAGTGGGTTGAAGGTGGGAGCTGGGGGTTAGAGATGTCTTTGATGTCCAGGTAAAGAAGTAATGCACCAGGCTGGTTTCGTCAATTCTAGTTAACTAGACATTCTTATTCCTTTATTCATTTTCTTCATTAAGTGAAGAATATGAACACATACAATGCAGAAATATGCAGCAGAAAATAAACACTGGTGGTTTAACATTTTATTCTACTTATAAGGCTAGTTTTCATAATTTAAAACACACATTTACAAAAATACATTCTATAAAATATAATATACTGAATCCAAATGAACAATTGTTTATACACACCGATACATTTGGCCCAGATACTCCTTGCTTATGGCACCAAATTGAGATCATCAAATGCATCTGAATACAAGAAAGGAACCTTGTGTAATGCCTCTTAAAGTAAAAATGCACAGGAAAAATGAGTCAGCACTATCCATCAGTGACCTCAGCGATTAGCAACACTCCACCTTTTGGGATCTTTTAAGTTAGTTCTGTTTCAAAACTAAGTTTAGATTACTTACTACAAGACTGCTTTGCAGTCACACTAATAGTTTGATGTAGATGAAAGGGTTCACATTTTTCACATGTATTTAATCATTTATACTTTTAAATGACCCAAATATCAAGTTACACTTAGATTTCTAATGAACACCAATACATTATCTTAACCTGTCACTACAACATTCATCTGAATAATAGAATAATTCCTTATTCTAATTTACTTTCCAATGGAATTCAACAGTTCTGACACAAAAGGTTTATGTTATATTCAACATGCTATAAAACCTCATTGTACATCCAGTAATCTACAAGTATGAGTCCCACAGCCATTTATGTCACAGAGATGACAGCAAAGCTGACATTTTTTAAGGATTATTTATAAGAGTAAGTGCTCATGTTACTCATTTAGTACAATGAAAATGTTTACGCCAGATCTTTTGTGGATAAACAGAGGAAATATCACTGATAAGCATTTATAAAAGATGAAATGCAGTCCTTAAAATGTGTGCACATTCTACCAAGTGCAAACTAAAGACAATATGCCTCTTCAAGTTAAATTTGGGTGTCAAAACCACAACAAATGCCCATTTGTCTTTCTTTTCTTTGACCAGCGAGTCTATCTGCAAGCGCACGTCTCCACAGACATGTTGGGGTAGATCTTCAACACAATGTTTTTGCTCTCATCCAGAAATAGAACACTGAGGGGGTTCATCTTCTCTGGAACACAGCAGGGTTCTGGGATACCTGGAATTATCCCAACGGCCTTGACTATGCTCTGGATGGTTGCATGGTTGGAGGGGCGGACTACCTGAAAAAGGCAGAAAAGAGAGGATAATGAGGTATAGTAGCATTTAGATACGCAACTTTTGTTTTGCTTTCTTCAGTAAAGCAGAGGATATTATGTCTTAAAACACCCTTCTATTATTCAGAACAAAGGAACTGTAAAACTGGCTCATTTCAAAAGAAAATGTGTCCAAAATGTGCTTAAAACCTCTATTAAGCGTACAATTATTTGACTGTAATTGCACATAAAGTTGTGTGCTTTAGTTGTGCTGGAACTGAAACATTTTCTGAAGGGATTCTTTGTTTAAAAATCCCTGGCTAGAAAAAGCTGTATTAACCATAGTCATTTTTAAATATTTCAACATGTCTAAACAGTTCACATTCGCATACGCAGATCCATGAGGTTCTCTGACCTTTGGAATGGGGAATTCACATGTTCCTGCGCAGTAGAAGGCATCGAAAGACTTGGGAGACAAGATCCATTCATTCCACCCGATATCTGCAAAGTCCACCTTCAGGTACCTCCTGGAACAGCTGCGAGGTTCTTTCCACTGTCTCCTCCGAGCCTTCTTCATGGTTTTCTCATCAAACCGTAGAACCTGAGACTTGCCGAATCCATCAGCATGCTCCTGGCCTTTCCTCCGACGTTCTTTTTTAAAGGGCTTTGGCTTGAGTGCAAAGTAAGCGCTTTCCCACATATCGTGCTGTTTGAAGCTGTTGTACTCCACCTCCGGGAGCTCATTGTTCTCAATGGGATCAGAGAAGTCCAAGTCCAGTTCCCGCTTCACACGTATGTCAGGTGAGGAGTCCGGAGACTGAGTTGGCTGCTGGTCTGCAATGAAAGGGTCATATCTCTGTAGGCTCACAGCCACGCTGTTGGGCTCTGAAATGGCCAGGTCATTAGCATACACCAGCAAGTATGGAAGGCTGGAGGACGGGAGCTGGTCCTGATACCCTTGATACTGCTCTCCATAGTCAAACTCCACGGTGACCAAAAGATGATTCTTATCTCGGGCCTCTTTTATAATGACAGACACATCCTTGCTCTGCCAGGTCCCACGTCTG